CTTCCATTTCAGGCTACTCCCAGCTATGTTTTTAACATTCCAAGGGGCTATATTTATAACTGGGTGAGTCCCTCAATGCACAAACAAGGGAATGCTTTTAATTAATCTAGTTGTCTAGTGCATAGATAGAACAAATCGCTCAGGTTTTATGTCCTTATCTTGTATTCTTCACAAGTTCTAACTAGGACAGACACCCAGGTGCACTTAGGTAATAATAGCTCTAAGGTCTGTTTTATCAACATGCACACATTTGGGAGGTAATATTTCTGTAGGATTTTTAGCTTTCATGCCTTACTCTTTGTGTTTTCTTTCACACAACATTATGAAGCATTTGTTGCAGGTATTCATTTCATTCTTGATAGATGAGACAGCTAAAGGCCCAGACTAATGAAATGAATTGCAAGGCCGCAGGTTTTAGTTAATCCCCAAACAAGGGCTGCTCTGTGGATTTCTAGATGAACTCTCCCACAGCCTTTCATGAAGAAAAGGCAGGATGCAGTGTTTGAGTCATTAGTTCTCCCACTCCATGCTCTTTCCTTGCATCGTCCCAGATAAGAGCATCTTCAGGTAGAAGCTAACCCACAAGCTTCATGAGGAAGGCACTCTGTTTGTCCTGTCACCTGTGTTTCCCTGGGCACGGAGACGTAAATAATTACCAATAAATATTTGTTAATCAATGAATGAGTGAATAAATCAATGGGAGTAGTGGCTCCTAACAGAAGTTGGCCAGTGGTAACTAGGGCTCTCTGCAAAGCTGCAGAATGGTGGGCCTCTAGCTGACCACAACCTGACACAACATAGGAGCACGCCACTGTCACAATGTCTCCCTTGGCCTGGCTTTGCCTGCTCTGCCCCTTCACTCATTCTCCTCTAGACAGCTTAGAGGAGGGTCTGGTGCAGAGGCCACCAGCTTCGATCTGTTTCTCTGCATTAGCAGAGGTTAGAAAGCATGGATCCTGTGAAGATCCAATGAAATAGGTGGAAGGGGGCTGACTCCCAGTTGAAGATGGTTCAGGTGTTGTAGCAAAGGCGTTAAAGGACTTAGCATTAGTGTGTTTGTGTAGGACTTGCACATTGGTTCAGCATCACTCACGTTCAGCACAATCCTCTCCTTCCTCCTGTCCTTTCCCGGAGACAACCAGTTTGTCAAAGACCTGCCATGACTGAATTCTGCTTAGTGCAGAGCTGGTGCCTGACACTAACAACGGTGGTACCGCAAACAGCACTGCCGCAACACATTGCTCTGCGTGCTGGGAGGTGCTGTTGAGGTTACCATTCCCTGCTCTATACCTTACCTTCTCAAGGAGGGCCACAGCGACACATTCCTCTGTGGTCTCATAACCAGGCATAACTGTGTCTCCCCTGGGCAAATGGATGGTTCTTTGTTTTGAGGACAATGCAATTGATGAAATGGTAATATTTCCTTCTTCATGTAGCCTGTCTGGAAGCTCCGATTTGAATTTACAGATTATCTCTGGTAAGTATATAACACTTCCTTGCAAGAATTTTGTCTCTCTTAATTTCACTGTATTTTCCCTCAGGCTCATTTTAAATTTAGTTCATCTTATTGTATCGACTGTGTGTTTTTTTCTTTAAAGAAACCAACTTAAATCATTTGGGAAAATTGTAAGGTATAAGGAAATAAAAATGAAGACCAGTGTGTTCATGGTATACCTTCATTATAGACTTTTTTTATTCCCCACGCCTTAATTTTATACCTTTTTCTACTCTAATCTTAACATCAACCCACCACTTTCTAGTGTCATAATCCTTTTCAGATTCATTTTTTTGGGAGTGTGGTGTAAAAATTTGACCATTGTATTAAGTGTAAGATATTAATAATTGATTCCTCAGCTTCTACTTTCTAGAAATGTGAATTTAGCTAAATTACTTAATAATTTTTCTTTTATAGGAAGAGTAATGATATTTATTTTTTGTGAAGGTTGTGACAATTATATGAAATATTATATGTAAAGTATCTAGTATCTTCTGTGACACATAGTAGGCCTTTTGTTTCAAAACAGTCTAAGTGGAAAATACGCTGAACTTGGAGTTTAAAATCTCTTATTCAATCATTAGCTTATGACCTTTTCCATATATTTCAAATTTTCTTTATTGATTAAGGTATTACATATATGTCCTTATCCCCCATTGCCCCCCTCA